ACATGTAGTTGACAACATAAAAGCCCCCATGGCTTCAGAATAGGGCTGTTCTAACTATATGGAAGTTATTGAGACATGTAGACTTTGGGTCTGGGCAAATGTCCCTTAGAGTGGCTACTTTAATTTAGCAATGTATTTTTTGCTTTTGTTTTAATTTGCAAGTTCTTCACAATAAAGTGATTGTGTGTGTGTATGTGTGTGTGTGTGAGAGAGAGAGAGAGAGAGAGAGAGAGAGAGAGACTTGGTGGGAGGGAGGGAGGGAGAGAAAGAGAATACTAGAATTATAGCCTCCATACTATTTTTATAATTAAAAACCAGCAACACAAAAGGTCTCTAGGATGCCAATTTTGAGCTGGAAGTTAACATTTACTGAAAGATAAACATAAAGTTCCCCACAATTCAGTCCTGGAGTGCTGGCCTTGTACACAGGGTGAAGGAACAATGCTTGCTGAGGCTTCCAACATGACAAATAGTAAAAAGGCTGCTGGAGAGAAGCCACCTGTGGGGCAGACAAGTTCAGAGCTCACCTGCTGCAGTCTGTACATTCCCCTCATGTGTCCCCTCCACAAATGTGCCCTGCCAACCTCCAATCCCCATGCAGCTGCTAGATGAGCCTCAGATCAGAGTGTGGAAATGGGGACAAATGCTCCCACTCCGGTTCACGTGCTGCTCTACCAACTGTCAGCAATTGTAAGACGTGTTCCTGACATTCATTCTCCCCAGGCACGAGCTCCCGGAAGGTAGTTGACAGGTAAAGAGCAAGAGTTTTCTGCCAAGATCCCTTCAATGGTGCAAGAAGCTACCTGCCATCTCTGGAAATCAACAGAACCCGAAGAAAAGCAGGGCAGTGGGGAAATGTACCTTAGCCCAGGAGGCTTAAAACTGAGCTGGAAGCCAGCTGGTCCGTTGGCACGGCTAGAACTTTAGCCATTTATTCATCTGTCTGCTCAACAAGTACCCCATGTGGCTTGTGCACAGAAGTTGGTGTTTAAGTAGATATGGACTCAAAAACAATGAGTTGCAGGATACAGCTAACAGGAAGAGTAAGCCTAACAACTTTTGCATCATTATTATGTGAGGATCAAATCCTGTGTGAATTTTCCGATTCAGTATTCTGTATTCTTTCCAGCAATGACCATCTCAGCATGAATGTGCCAGACTGTACATCTGGCCATCGTGACACAGGTGAAAGTAGAGGTGGAAGGAGAAACAAGTAGCTTTTCAGACCCTAGAATGAAGGCGGAATTGGTATAGCATTGGGTGGGCTAGGGAGAGGGGATGTTAGAGTCAGAAGGAAAAGATGACCTCAGAGAAAGCTAATCCACCACCCCTCCCTGCCTGAGGAGCCAGTGGAAAGGCCTGGGCAGGGGCTGTTAGGGTGCCTGGGGGAATGTGTGAGCAGCTCCCTCTCTTCTATCCCATAATTGTCCTGTGTGTTTAAAGGACCTAAAGGCAATTACCAATTGTGCTACCTGAGAATACCTGAGATAACCCATTTATGAGTCAAAAAGGTTAGCCTTGGCTTGGCTTGGCTGCAGAGGTCTCAGGCCACTGTTGGTTGGTCCACTGACTTTGGCCACATGCTGTGCACACTGTTTCGAGAGCTTGCAGCTGAGCAGACTCCCTTATTGCATGACCAGGGAGGAGAATTCAAGAGGGGAGGAGAGGGCTGGGGAGATGGTTCAGTTAATCAAGTATTTGCTGTGCAAGTGTGAAGACATGAGTTCAGATCCCTGGTACTCACATAAAAAGCTGGGTGTGGTGCTAAGTGTGTATAATCCCAGCATTGGGGAGGCAGAAACAGTTGTAGACCTTGGAACTCAATGGCCAACATCAACACACACACACACACACACACACACACACACACACACACACACACACACACACACACACTCACACTCCATGCATACACACTGGGTGTGTGTGTGACCCAAATGCTATTTGCTGTTGAGGATGCACCCTCAATGACCTGAGGATCCTCTCACTAGGTCCCACCTCTTAAAATGCCCACCACCTCCAATAGAGTCAAGCTAGGGACCTGAGCACTGGGGCTGTGGGAGCATTTTGGATCCATGCTTAAGCACTTTCAGTGTCTGTCTCTGGATTGGAATATGGAGGGGGGCTGCTCCACTGTGCACTGAGCATCAGGGACAAGAGAACTTTTACCTTTCATGTGCACAGCCTGCTTATTTCACAGGGGTCCCAGGAGGACCGGTGGACCACTCTGTCCCTGAGCATCTAGCAGCGGAGAGGCAGGTGATGAGCAGAAATCTCTGCAAACCCTCTGTTCTCTGAGGGCTTCTTCCCAGGGGAGTTCTGAAGAGGCAACCCTACACCCCATGCCAATTTGAGATGAGCATTAACAACAAAGAAGACCTTTCAATAACAATTTAAGGATTAATTTCTTAAAATCCAATTTCACTTTTTCCCTTAATCCTTAGTTTAAGTCACATCCAGTAATGCAGTAGGCCAGAGTATACCCACTCACTAAACTGTAGTGTTGAACTCCTGTAGACTGACAAAGCCACCACATTTGAACTTTGATTTCATCCCTGAGGCGAGGGGCCATGTCACAAAAATCTGAAAAGCTGACTCCACAGAAAAGCCACTTACTCCTCTCTCACCAGCACTGATTACATCAGCTCCTGGGTTGTTTTTTTGTTTTGTTTTGTTTTGTCTTTGGATGATGTAGTCACTATTCTATCAAAATTAGACATGTATCCAATGCACCAGCTCTCTCTGGCCACAGCATGGTCCAAGTTGAATCACTATACAATAAATATTAATAACACAAGCTGTGGTATTCCTTTCAGCAGACACCTCCATCAACCTAGGAACTGCCGACGTGAATAGCATAAAACTGCGAGTTGACCTCAGCGTTTTCTAAAGGGCTTGGTCTCTGAAAGCGTAAGTGCTATTCTCTTAACTGAATGCCGAAACCCAGAACTGGATCAAAAATGCTTGTCTCAGGGCTATGCCCTTGCTTCCTCACAAACCAGGCTGCAGAAGCCATAGGATTGAACAGACTCCTTTAAAGAAATCCACGTGCTGCTTTGCCAGCCCTGCCTCTGTGTAGTGGGAAAGCCTACTCCAGGAAAGCCTCTGCTTCGCACCGCAGCTTCTAGTCTCACCAGTTTTCTTAACATTGCTGTTTCGTGTGACCTGGAGTTTATTGGTGAGCCTGAGTTGAGTTCTATGTTCAATCAGCGGCGGAACCATTGTCTTCCACACAGAATGAGCGCTCTGAACGTCCCACGAAACCCAAGCCTCTCGGGCAAGCAATAGGCAGCAGTGGGTGGTGGCTCTTTGAGTCGAAATGTTTTTCCTATTTGATTTACTTAATTGAGCTAATGGGTTCTGTGATCAGCTCAATAGCCCAGTAGCTAAGTCATCATTAGTTCTTCTCTTAGCTAACACAATAATGACCCTTAAATCGTCTCCAGCATTTCCAATTACCTTTGAAAACATGTGGAATGTCAGAAACCCTAATAGGAAACATACATGATAGGCTGTTTATGGAAAGTCGCCTCTCACATTAGTAATTTTCAGAAATTCTTTTAAGTGTCAAGGAGAATGGTGAAACAAATTACAACACGAACAGTAGAGAAATTCAGCGAGATTCTTCCTCAGTACTCAACAAAGCTAGAATATTCAGGGTTTCTCTAGCCCAAACATTGCATTTATGATTGAGAAAACCCAGTTAGATGATAATTATCTTGTAAAGATAACAGAGACAACAAATGGTAGCCAAATTAGAACAGCCCCCCAATTTTCTGTTGTATAGTTCTTTCACAAGCCTATTAAAAAGATACTTACTAAAAATTAAGAGGAAGGGGACATGTACAAAAGCTTCAAATTCTAAGCAGCCTACAGCCACCCCTGTCTGTTTCATTTTGTGTCTTTTCCTCTGCACACCACTCTTCCTGACCCCACTTCTCACAGGCACTGTGAGGGTTAGTCTTCACTGTCAACTCCATTAAATTCAGAATCACCCAGACCACATATCCAGGCAAGTCTATGGGAACATTTCCAGGGAGGAATAACTACGGGGGAGACCCACCCTGAGCTTGAGTGCCTGAGCTTGAGTGGAGCCATCTCACAGGTTAGGGGTGCACCTAAACGAAAGAAATAAGGAAGCCTTTGTGTCAGCATCCCCTTGCTCCACTTTCTGGTCTGCTGAGATGATAGCCAGCAGCCTCTTGCCTCCATCAGCAGGAAATGGATTCCCCAACATGCTTTCCTCCCACAGGGGACTGTCCCCTCAAAGTGTAATACAAAATAAACTCTCCCTTCCTTAAGCTATGTCTTGTCGGGTATTAGGCCAAAGTGATGAGTGACAGAATTAAGCCTGAGTGCAATTCTCTGCAGTGCCATTTGCAAATCCACAAAGTCCCTGATAGAGATGTGGAAAGAACATGGGACATAAAGGAGACCAAGACTTTGCTCCTGGTCGAGCTTGGTGGAGGTTACTGTGTTGGACACCATAAGACAGCAAGGGTGGAGAGTCCAGTGAAAGTAGAATGTAGAAACATCCAGCAGGGTAGGTTTACAAGTCACCTCCCATTAGGTTCTACAGCTCATAGTTAATGTTGTGATAAAGGCTAGAATCCCACAGAAGCAGCTTCTCATCAGAACTTTCACAGTAGGTCCTACAGCTCATTATTAATGTTGGGATAAAGGCTAGAATCCCACAGAGGCAGTTTCTCATCAGAACTTCCAGTCTGTGGTTGAATTGTAAGGTTTTATGATGTTCCCCCACTGTAGTCAGAGTGGAGAGTAATGCATTCTGCTAAGCAATTCACAGGAGAGTGACTGATTGCACCTAATTTGACTTTGTTAACTCACAACAGGGAAAAATCATTGCCCCGGTGTCTGGGATAGCTGTCACCTGCCCATCTCATTCTCCACCCTACTGCACAGACTCTGGGAGGTTGGAGGCTGCTCTAAGCAGTACACATCATTATTTATCTTTGTATATCCATTGCCTGCTGTGGACATCTGACACACCGAAGGTACCCGCGTAACACAGAGGAAATGAGTGAATGATGAATCATTATTAAGGGCCCCTTGTTAACCATACATCCTGGAAGATGGTAGGCAAGTCTAAGAAAGCATCAGCTCTTGACTGCACAGAGAAACCCTAAAGGAACTTCTCAATATTCTTTCCACCACAAGATCAACTCTCTGACCCCCAAAAGGTAAGGGCCATTCCCAAAGCATGCTCAATTCATTATGATACTTCCATCGGGTGGCACTAATTGTGATAGTAAATATTGTCAATTTCATTGAACTTGGTTAGATCTGTAATCACCTAAGAGGCACATCTTTGGGCGTGCCCATGAGGCCACATCCAAGAAGCATTAACTGGGAAGAGAAGACCCTCTCTCTCCAGAATGGACAGCACCTGCAGAGAGAAGCCCACATATAAAGGGGACTGAGGGGAAACAGGGATGATTGCTTGACTGTCTTTGCTTCTTGCTGGTAAATACATCTATCTGTCTCCGACATCAGAATGCAACCTCTTCCACCACCACCCCCATCCCCATCTTGGATTGAAGACAAGTGGCTCTTCAGGAATCCTGCAAGCCCTCACTGACAGACTGGGACTTCTGAGGTGTCCATCCCTGTGGACTGAGCAGCTACCAGATTCTCAGCCTCCTAGTGTACAGCAACTGTTGAAGTATGCAGCCATATCAGTGTATCAGGTAGGCCAATTTAAGAAACCCTTTTCATAATGCATATTCATTCAGTCTGTTCTCTCCGACCAGGAGAACCCTAATACACTCTGGCACTTGCCAGCTGGGTCTTCTCATTTAAACTCCATTTTCCCCAATTCTACCATTTGTGGCATCCTCCCAATCCACACCCAGAGAGACTGCCTGGGTCAGAAGAACACCCCACACAGAGCAGGATTATCCTTGAGTAAGCTGCTAGGTGACTATAGACATCTGGGTGACACCAAAAGCAACGTGACAGAAAATGAATGGTCCTTTGTCAGAGAGCCTGACCCTTGCTCAGCAATTGTTTCAAATCTTACGCCAATTTAGCAAATTGGTTTCTTTTCAGGAAAAGCATAACTGATATTTTCCTTTCTCTTCATTTAATTTTAATTTTAAAACTACATTCAGCACAACTGACATTTTGGGTTCGGACCTCTGAATTGGAACTGAGGTCTAGAGCTCCAATCCTCTCCGTTTCAGAACAGAGGACACCCTGCATTGTTGACCCTCACACTCCCTCAGCTTGTGGTTACACCATAACCAGCCCAGCCTCTGGCAACAACTGATATTTTTCTCTATAAGTACATTGGTATTTTCAAGAGTGTTTTACAAATGAGAGAAATTGTTATGGAATCTCCTAGGCTGGCTGCTGTTTCTCCGAGCAAATGCCTTTCTCGTGCACCCTCAACTGGTGTGGAACCAATTGTTTCTCTTATTTATTTCATCCAACAAGTAAATAAGTATGTAACTAAGAAAAGTAGAGCGTTTCCCCTCACTAAGGTTTGCTACAACCTCAAGGCCATGTTCCAAAGTTTGTTTATTTATTGGTCTGGAGGCAAGGTCCATAGGCAGCCCAGGCCGGATGGGAACTCACAACACTCCTACCTCACCTTTCTGAGTACTGTGACAAGGTTCAATTCTTGCAGAGTTGCTATAACCATAGTCTTTGTTCTCTTAGATTTGATATTAGAGAAACACTATTAATTTTAGTTTTAAATATTTTCAAGTACCAGACTGTCTGTCTGTCTGTTTATACATCAATCCATTTCTTACTGACTGGGGACATAGCCCAGCAGTAAAGTGCTTACTTTGAATGCATGAGGCCATAGGTTCAATCTCTAGTAGGGTCAAAAATTTTAATAGAACTAAGTCACTTCATATTACCTCACCCATCATTTTCTTTTACATTTTGCCCTGATTGTTGTATCATTCTTTTTCTTAATAGATACAGATAGCTGATAGGTTGATCTGTAGGTAGTAGATAGAAATGTAGGTATTAGGTATAGATAGATAGATAGATAGATAGATAGATAGATAGATAGATAGATAGATAGATACGTAGGTAGATATTATAGGTAGATGACTGACAGATCGACAGATGGCTTTCCCCCTGAATCACTGAAGACTGAATGGAGGTATCATGTATCTTTGCTGTTCACCGCTATACTGTTTCCAAGAGCAGATTGTATTCTTATACCCAGCCACAGGACAGTTGTCAAAGGAACACAATCTTCATATCACACCACTACCTCCCACACATCCCATACTCAAGTGTTACTGACCCTCTGCCTTTTGGAGCTACAGGACCCACCTCATCTCCACCATGCCTCTTCAGTCTTCCAAGTCTGAAACAGGCTTCGCCCTTCTGTATCTCTTGATTTTGACCTTTTGTGGTTTTCTAGCTTGTCTTTCTGTTCAGTTTTGCTGATATTTCTTCCTGCTTAGATTTGGTCATGAACATTGGCAGAAATCCCACAGAGGTGACTTTAGGTTCTTCCAAGGAATTCTATCAGGAGCCTTTAGATGCCAGCTTGACCAAATATTGGTGATGTTAACTCTAAAAATCCATTAAAGGACATCTGCCAGGTTTGACTACCAGAATGGTTAGTCTCTTCTGAAGGAGAAGCTTCCAGGAACCCGAAACCACCTGCTCTTGTGAACCCTCTCCCTGTTCTGTGTGGGCTAATGATCGTTGGCCCTGTCACCCAGGATGTATTGCTCACTTTCTGCCTGGGACCCACAAAGCCTTGGCTTTTTGCTATTTTAGTCTGAGAGCCTAATGCATGCTAGGTAGCAATGAGTATCATCCAGCCACTGCCTCCTGGCCACCCGGGCTCTTCTGCATGCCTGTGGTACCCAAATGAACCATTGCTGACCAACCCCGTGGGTGGGAAGGAAGAAATTGGCAGCGTGGCTTGTACTCATCATTCCTGGGAAAAGTCTACCCCCAGACCTTCCTTCTCATTCTTGAAACCGCCAGATGCTTTTGAAAGACAACTTTCAGTTGAGCCATTCAGGGCAGTTGTGTTCCCTGGGAATCTCTCTGCCCTGGACCTGGGTCATGGCTGCAGTGTGGAAAAAAAACAGAGCATGCAAGAGTGGAGACACAGGATCAATATCTCATTTCTATATTTAGAACCACACTGTAATGCAAGCCTGACAAAAGCCAATGTCCACCAAGAAAAAAAAAAGAATGAATGAAAGAACAAAAGAATGAAAGAGAAAGATTGTGTTATGAAAAATAAGCCAGACTCAGGAAGATATATATCTTCTTCCTCACATGTTAATCTAAATATATATATATAATACATATATAATACACACATATATTATTTAGAAAGAGCAACCCTTCTCCATTTTCCTGTTTCTGACACAAATATATCTACATGTATATATTAATATCAGTACTGTGCCCTACATTTTATGTGTGTGTGTTTGTCACGAACGTAGAAAGGAGGCCATGAGAAGAGAGGAAGAAATAGAAAGGGGGTGTGGCATCTATGTCACATGAAAGCAGAAGGAGAAAAGGAAGACCAACAAGAGTGGGCAGGGCATGGGGGAGTGTACATGATGTGTGTGTGTGTGTGTGTGTGAAAAATTCCATCAGGAAATCCTGAAAACTAAGAAAAAGGAGGGGAAGGCAAAGAAGGGGGAGGAAAGGGCCAGGGAGAGCAGAGGACAGGAGAGGAAAGGGAGAATGCTTACCATGGTTTTCTAAGCCCAGCCCTGTTGACAAGCGGAAGCCTCAACCCTGAATTCTACATTATGCTGAGGCAGGTGGCTTGAACATGGCTTCATCCCACTGCTTCCTTCTGTTCTAGTTCCCAGTGTCCAATGTTCCCCAAGGAAAATGGAAAGGCAAATACAGAATGGAGTTAGTGCCTGCAGAGAGCTAGCCATGCCTGGAAGAGAGCTAGCCATGCCTGGCAGACAGCTAGCCCATGCTTGGCAGGTTAGGCATGCTTGGCTTCTTTTTTATTTGAGCCTGGAGTTTAGAGGCGACCTTATGTTGCCTGCTGTTGATTGACTGATTCATGGTTTCGGCTGCCTTTTCCAAAGGCCCCAGCTCAGCTCTGTGACAGGGGAGCACTGGGTAGTTGGAGTCTTAGGTTTTGCTGGGTGTCCTTTTCTGTAGAGCCCAGTCATTTCAAAAAGAAAAAAATAAATGGTCCGTGACAAGTACAGAGGAAATGATCCAAGGTGACAAAATAATTGCCCAGGAGTCCCCAGGTCACACACAAAGCATGTGCTACATAGTCACACTTGAAGCTCTTCCTAAGGCATGTGCTATGCCTGACGCCCTCCCTGGCCCACCCTCTCTCCCTCCTTCTCTTTCTCTTTCCCTTCTCCTTTCTCTTTCTGTATGACTCTATCTACATAACTCTCTCTTCCTCTCTCCCTTTCTCACTCTCCACCCCTGTCTCCTTTATCCCTGTCTTCTTTCTCTCTCTCTCCATGTTGCCCTCCCCACTCCCACCTCAAATTCCCCACCCCTCACCCCCCACCTCCACCTCTCTAGATCACTTTTGTACCCCCTGAGCCTCTGTTTTGGTGTTCAGTCTGCACAATGGCGTGTGTCACATGAACATTTGAGGATCAGATAAGACATGGGGAGTGTTTGGTGACTGGCACCTTGACATGCTCCATACTGTACTTCATTTCTGTAGCCCCATCCCCTTTCCTAGAGATCACACCAGATTACCACCTGGCTACATTCCTATCCTCAAGTCTTTTTTCCAGTGATTCTTCCAAAAATCTCCATTCTTCTTCCTTTCTTGCTGCCACCCCTCCTACTTCTTCTGAGTCTTTGAGATGGGATCTCAAGCAGCCTTGAACTCACTACATAGCGAAGGATGGCCTTGAATTTGTGATACCCCTGCCTCCACCTCCTCAGTTCTGGGATTGGAGGTGAACGCCTTCATTAGACAAGCACTGTACCAACTAAGCAATATACACAGCCCAACTTCAGGGGAATATTTGACTGCTACAGGCCTGCCATGCTTTCTGCTTTGAGCTCCACCATCCCCTCCTTCTTGTTTTCCTCCCATGCTCTTCCCAATATCATCTATTCAGCCATGTCACCTTTTGAGTTAGACTGGAACTCTGAGAGCTGGAACCACCCTACACACTGAGCTCTTAGCATGCCTCACCGTAACCCCCACCACAAACACTAACTGGTAGATTAGCAGAGTCTTGTTTCTCTTTCCCTGACATGTTTTCCCCACAGATTCTTAAAGCAAGTTTATAAACTGGCATGGGTGAGGATTTGTCTGCACAACTAGATTAGTGCATTTGAGTACCGGCCTGCCAAGGCAGTGATGCAGTCCTCACCTCCTCCTGTCGAAGGCTTATGGGGACATGATGCTCTCTGCATGTTGGCTTTTTGAGTCTGTGTAAGGGAAGTATGGAGTTTGTGTGTGTGATGGGAGACTCTCCTTTCCCTCTGGGATCATAAAAACATTCTGTGTTTGCCTATGGGCTCTCTCCAAGGTACATTCAACCAGAGCTGTAAAGCTCTGATTAGTAGTGACCTGAGCTGTCCCCCAAAGAGATGGTGAAGCCCCAAGGCAACATTTGGCAGCCCTTCACCCTATGCTGGAAGCCCTTCGGGCTGTGTTTTACAAATGAGGTTTTAAGCTGCATCACCTGAAGATGGATTTCTGTGCTCAGCCAGGCATTAGCAGTGCGAGGTTTGGGTTGTGTGA